CAGCACTTTTATCCAAACACGTAACTGCTTATTTTTTAAATCAGCTCCAGCACTTAAAATTGCTTTTCAGCACCTAATGCTTATCAGCTACTCTAAATCAGCTAAGCCAAACGGGCTCTAACTTATGGCTTTTGGCTTATTTTTAGATTATAAGCACCTAACTTATAAGCACTTTTAATTTTACCAAATGCGTATATAAGCTAAAAAGTATTTATAAGCCAGTTTGACCAGCTTATAAGCTTAGCCAAACACCCCCTAAGCATATCTGCAAAATCAAATTGTGATAAAATTATAGTAAAATGTAACCTTGAAANTTCAGCACTTTTATCCAAACACGTAACTGCTTATTTTTTAAATCAGCTCCAGCACTTAAAATTGCTTTTCAGCACCTAATGCTTATCAGCTACTCTAAATCAGCTAAGCCAAACGGGCTCTAACTTATGGCTTTTGGCTTATTTTTAGATTATAAGCACCTAACTTATAAGCACTTTTAATTTTACCAAATGCGTATATAAGCTAAAAAGTATTTATAAGCCAGTTTGACCAGCTTATAAGCTTAGCCAAACACCCCCTAAGCATATCTGCAAAATCAAATTGTGATAAAATTATAGTAAAATGTAACCTTGAAACAACTAACATTTTATAACAGAAGAAAACCAAAGAAAGGCAATATGGAATGTTCAGCACTAAATTAGATTAACTGGTATCCAAAAACTAAGCTACATCTAAAAGACATTTGAAGAGGTAAACATTATATTTTCTCTTATATTAGGGTTCGTCAATCAATTTACTCTTTAGGTTCTATCGTACTTTTACCGTTGGAAATTTATCAACAATTTACATCCAAGTTATTGAATAATAATATTCATAAAAAGAAAAAAGATCAGGGCAAAAATGTCTTTAACGTTAGAGTTTCCAAGAGTTTTGGGGCCAGGTGCAATTCTTCCAAATATAAAGGGGTCAATTGATAACTACCCTTTAGTTTCCCAGATTTGGACTGATTAAATCCAAATCGAAAACACAGAGCACCGAAATACACACAGAAGGAGAGAGATAAAGCATGTCGTCACCGGCGAACGATCCAAGGCAACCGTCAACGGCAAAGCCGTACAAGCCGACAGCGGTAGCTCCACAAGATCTTCCTATAGATTACTCCGGTTTTATAGCCGTGGTGTTTGGCGTTTTTGGTGCCATGTTCAGAGTGAGTCATTCCCCTTTTAAATTTGCATATTTTCAAATTTTTTACGATTTCATCTGATGTTATATTAATTGACATAGCTTAATATATGGTGATATGTTTTAAACAGTATAAGATTTGCTCGTGGCTTGCGATAATATTCAGCGCTCAGTCACTTGCTAACATGAGGAACTTTGAGACTGATCTTAAGCAGATCTCCATGGCAATGATGTAAGTACTTATAGTTTTTTCATGAGGATCTTAGACACGTCGTATAAGAATTTTTTGGACTTGCTTAAGTGTGTGCGTCTTATAACAAATCCACATTATTAATTCATAAGTTTGACCTTCACTTGGCATTTGCTGCTTTTAATCATATCTCGTTTGATTATTGTTGTGCATGATTTTATGGTTCTCCACCTTGGTGTAACTTTATTGAATGTTTCACACAAATTAGTAGTTGCAAAGTCTCATTACTTCATGAGTTCTCTTTGATTTGTATTAGGGCTTGTTTTCATAACAAATTTAGCTCAATCTGTGAAGAAAATGGACTCTAAGCTCATGTTCTTATACAAAATGCTAGTCCTGGGTGGTGATTGTATGATCTTATGGATGTTGGCCTCTATATTCAAGATATGAAACTTCAGAATTTATTTTCATTGAATGGCAATGGAAAGGTGTTCTCCAAAAATACTTTTATTTGCAGGGTATATATCAACACATGAAAAGAAGGGAAAAACTCTAAATCAAGGATTTAATTTGGTATGACGTTATCATAGATCATGATTCAAGATAAGAAGGAATTTTTGTTTGATAAGGAGAAAAGGTCCTCCTTTTCTTGACATCATCTTTTATGATAACGTCATACCAAATAAGAAGGAATCTTCTTCCTTCAATGTAGTTTTTCGAGGATATTTAAACAAAAAAATAAAGTTAAAGGCCAAGTTATCGTCATAAAATACTATAGAGTATGTGTATACAATTTTGCGTGGCCTTAGTTAGGGCTCTTGCTTAATATAGAAGATTCATGTGGTCTATGTGCAAGGATGACAATCTAAAATAGAAATGGTCCAAACTTGTGCTGCTATTTGCATAATAATGTTACTTCAGGAATTTAGTGCTGAGAACCAAAAGCTTGAAATGGGGAGGTGCTCTAGAGAATAGCTCCCTGGGCTTTGGTTCAAAGGCAAATATAGTAGAAAAAAGGGTGTCTGGTATGCACACTTCATGGAGTTTGAATTTAGAAATGCAAGGGATAGACCCATTATACATCGAGTTTTGACCTAAAACAGTAAATTTCTCGAGTTAAAAAGGAACAACTGTAGTGAGTAGTGAAAAGGTTTAGGGCATGTAGAATTAAGACGAAATATATGAAATGTAAGTTCAGCTTCCATAAGAAGTGCAGTTAAAGTGAGATTAGATTGAACTCTGGTGTTCAAATGCGGATGAATCATAACTTCTGTCATGACTCAAACTAGGGGCAATTGTCAGTTCGTCACCCAACTAGCTTGGACTTGCCGAGTGAACCCTTAAACTTTTCGTCTTGGTACACATAAAGCATATGTTGGGGGTTCTAAGTGAATTCGTCATCGTGTGTCGTCTAATTAAGATACAAACATATTTTGTTTGCTCCTCTACCCAATCATGGAACTTCTTCAGAATCTGCTACAAAATATAAGTGGAATGTGGCTCGATAAATGATTAGTAAAAATAAAAATGAACAAAGCCAACACTGATCAAACGTGGGACTCACCACTATGTAGTGGTGCTCAACTTGCGAAGTGGACTTCGTTCAATATCAAACATATAGCATGAAGCTAAGTGGGGTGAGTATATAAAATCCCTGTAAGTCTCCTTGACCTCCGTCTAAAAAGTTGGCCAAGTATTTTAAACATACATGCACTTTAATATCACAATCATATTTCTCATGTAAATCAATAAAATTTCAAAAATACTTATAAATACATGGTAAATAATTTAGAAGTTATTTTTGAAATCCCATGTTGCTCGTAGGCTACAAACAAAAATGTTTCTATGGAGGTTCCATCTAGACACTGACAATGCGTGTCAACATGGAGGCCACCATCCACGCAGTGGCTAGGTAGCCTACCAACCATTCCAGTTGATGGTCCGTCCATAAGACCTTATGTATAGTAGGGAATGCGGGACTTTTGTCGAGTCTAAAGATCTGGCCAAACATGCATTTACTTTCACACCTATGCGTGTGTTCTGGGTAACACAAACATCATGGGGTGTATACCCACTCAATCATC